AAGAATATTTTACATCAAAATTATGTACCATGATAAAATTTGAAGGTGCACCTAATTTAATTTAAAATCGGATAGATTTAAAATTAATTTAAAATCGGATAGATTGTGATATCTGTATAAAAAAACATGGTTTGTTTTTGGCGCCGAGTATTTTTGGTTGAATATAACATTTAGGCAAAAAAAGGTGACAACGTCAAATTTGGTTCCCAAAAAGTCAAAAACAATACTAGATTGGAGATCATTGAGGGAGTAAACAGATATTTTGGTCCTTCAGGATCATGAAATCTTTTGGCTGACAATAGATACAAGAGAGAGAGAAGAGGGGAGGGAGGTGGCGGCGTGACACAAATGTAACAGAATACGAGGGAGAGGGAAAGAGAGAGAGAGAGAGAGAGAGAGAGAGAGGGAGGTGGGGATTTAATTTTTTCCCAGGTCCGAAGTGGGAGTGAATGGCGTTTGAGCCACTCCCTTATTATTGCTTGCAAATCTGAGAGAGAAACCTTAGTAGTTGGAGTTTGCAGACGGAAGCCGAGAGAGAGAGAGAGCTTAGTTGTTGGAGCTTGCAGTGGGAAGCAGGGAGAGAGCTTAATTGTTGGAGCTTGCAGTGGGAAGCAGAGAGGGAGCTTAATTGTTGGAGCTTGCGGTAGGAAGTAGAGAGAGATGTCTTGCTTGGCATCGTGTTGCGCTTCCATGACATGCGGGCTGTGCAGTTCGGTGGTGTCGGGTATTTCGAGTCGGTCGGCGAGGCTCGCTTACTGTGGTCTCTTTGGCCTCTCTCTCATCGTCTCATGGGTCTTCAGAGAGATCGCTCCCTCTCTCTTCAAGGCCATCCCATGTAACCTCTCTCTCTCTCTCCTTCTTTTTTTCATCTATTTATCTTCTTGGTCTCTTGTTTTCTTGTAAACTATGGATTCCTCTCCTTCCACCTCTTTTTATTGTTGGGTTCCCTCTCTCTCTGTTTCTCTTTACTTGAGTTCCTCTCATTACAGGTACCCTCTCTCTCTCTCT